AAGCGTAAAAGCAAACACCTCCCTGGTGTCAAGACGCAGGCTGGAAACAAGAAACCGGGACAGGCCTCCAATCCAGGTCCCTCATTGTTCTTTTCAAACTTTGAACGCTCGAAGTTTTTCTTTGGTACTTCTGACGGTGCCTGGGCTCGCAAAACTAGGGTTTTTCCCCTTGTTTTGAGTCTTGAGTGTCCTTTGGTGCGTGGGTTGTTCGGGTTTAGGTCCTTAGATCGCACCATTTTCCGTCTCAACCTTGGGATTAGAAATTTCTTGTTGCTCAAGTTGATTAGGGATGGCGTTGAGCCCAATCCTGGCCCTTTGCGATTGCAACAACAGCACTCTAGCTTCAGGGTCTGTTCCTTGAATGTTCAAGGTGTCCCGGGCGCTTATAGAGCTCTTAATCTCTTACCCCAGCAAGGTTATCAGATTTTGGGGCTCCAGGAAACCAAGTTTTCTGCTAATGAGTGGAGGTCCTTTGCTCTCGCCGCGGGTAGAGCGGGGTTCAAGGGATATCATCTTGCGGGACCCACACGTGAAGATGGGTTACCTGGGGGTGGGGTTGTTTTACTCAGTAACAATCTTGCCCACAAGTTTGCCGACAGTCTTTCGGTTGGAAGATCTCAAGTCCTTATGGTTTGGTCTCAGCGTCTTGGCGTCATGACTTACTATGGGCCCCCGGGTGCTGAAGAGGACCTTGAGGAAGCCATGCTTCAATGCCACGTTAGGTGCCAACTTCACAATCACGAGTGGATTTCTTTTGGGGATAGCAACCAGGCCCTCAGGGCTCCTCCCTTGAAACCTTTCTCAGGAACAGTGGCGCGTTTTCTGTTAGTGACCGCGAGCCCACCAGATGGGCAAGTGACAACTGCATTGATTGGTTCGCTGCGACTCCCGGGGCTGGCCTCTGCTGGGGTGGTAGAGATCTGATTAAGGTGTCCGATCATATCCCAGTTTGGGCCTCCGTTGCAAGGACACGAAGTGCCTTGGATACTACTAAGGGCAGACTCAGACCGGGCCCGGTTTGGGAAAAACCTTCAAGCATCTCGGTGCAAGAGTGGCGCAAGCTGCTCATTGCGACTTGGGACTCCTGCGTTGCCGGCTCCTTTTCTAGGCTTTTGACCATTCTGGCTCGTCAAAACATCAATGTTCATGAAGAGTGGGACATGTTCCTTGATTGTCTTGACTTACTTTTCCTCAATTCTTTTCAGTGTTTGGCCGATGGTCATGCTGAGCAGGTTGTTAGGGACGAAGCTTTAGACACGCTCTGTAAGCCCTTTCATAATCAGCCCAAACCTCCCCTTCCGGTTTTCCAATTTGTCAATTTGGATAAGAGCAGTGGGGGTAGTCAGGATGACGGCGTTAGCCACCGAAAACGAGCTAAGAGACTTGCTAGACTTCACGAAGCGCGGAGGCTTCTCTTAGCCAATAATAGAAGCAGTACTCATGACCGGCAACTTGGGGTGCTTTTCCACAAACTTTGGGGCCACAGACCTCAGGGGTTCCAAACTGCTCTGTGCACTATTCGTCGTGAGATCTTGGATTTGCAGCAGGAACAGTGCTGTCGTGAAGAGGCTCGTAAGAAGGCCCGCCTTGACAAATGGAGACAAGACATGAGGGAGGGCAACCTTCGTAAGCTTGTCCGCTGGATGAAGGGCAAAGAAACCGAGCAAAAGGCTGTCAGCATCCGAAAGGGAAACTTGGTTGGTGAAACCCGCAAGGAGACTTTGTCCTTAATCAGAGAACACTGGTGCTCAGTTTGGCAGGACCGTCCCAGGTCTGCAGAGGCCATTGCAGAAACGTTGCTGCAGGGTTTTCCTCAGGAGTTGCAAGGGCCTAGGGTCTGGCAGCCCCTTACTAAGGATCAGCTTGCTTGTGCAGTGCTCAACTGTTCAGGATCAGCAGGACCGGATGCTTGGAGTGCTGCAGAGGTCAAACATCTCCCGCCTCAGGCCATAGACTTGTTTTTCCGTCTCACTGAGAGGTGGATCAGTTCCCAAACTTTGCCTCGAGCCCTCAGATTTGCTAAGCAAAGGGTCAACCTCCCCAAGGACAGTAAGGTGCTTAGTGATCACACTCTCAATGTGGAATCTACTAGGCCCATTTCTGTTCTTAGTATTTGGTGGCGTATCTTTGCAAGTGCGGTTGCCAAATCACCGGCCCTTCGGGATTGGTGCCAAGAAGCTCTCCATGACGATGTCACGTGCCTTGCCGGCACGGCTGGAGCTGAAGAAACAGCTGCTACTATCCACGAGGCCTGGGTGCAACAGGGCAGTGGATTCCTGGCCTCGCTCGATTGGTCTCAGGCCTACGACCGCATGGATGCCACTGCCACCTCTGCAGTCCTCAGTCGTTTAGGTTGGCCGGAAGGTCTTACTAAGCTCATGCTCCAGGCGTGGCAACACAAACGGTTTCTTGTTTGGGATGGTGAAGTTGACTCCCGAATTTTGGAATCTGAGCATGCGCTACCTCAGGGATGTCCCCTCAGTCCAGTCGCCTTGGCTAGTTGGACTTCCAGTGGCCTGCGGGTTACCAACAGCCAACTCCTTGAAGATGGTCACCAGCTTGGCAAACAGGCCGTCTACATGGACGACAGAACTTTCATTGGAGAGCACTGGATTGACACCAGTGCTCGCATTCAGGCTTGGAAATCCTGGAGCGTCTCAGTGAATCTCAGAGAAAATGACAACAAAACGCAGATCACTTCTCGTGGTAAGGACGCCGACATCAGCCAATGTCCCGAAAGCAGGAGAAAACCTGAGGTTAAAATCTTGGGTGTCTACAGCGTCAGCAAAGGTGCACGTGCTTGTGTTCCTGAAGAAGAAGCTCGCCTTGACAAGGCCAGACGTCGCGCTGACCTACTTTAGACAGTTGGTCTGTCTTGGGAAGGCCTCCTCAGAGCAGGCCAGTCCGCCGTCATAGGACTTGCTGCCTATGGTTGGGTAGGTAGACGTCCTACCTGGGGCCACAGCAACCGCATTTTCAACGGGCTCACCAAGGCCCACAATGCTTGCAGAATGGCCAACAACAGACTCCGCAAAGTGTTTTATGGTGCCAAAACACATCTCGACATCATCTTCGGCAGCAGACTTCTCACCAGAGTGCAGAAGATGAGGCGCAGAGGTGTCCTTACCTGGAGCAACAACGCTGCTAGTCAGACTGGCTTGCTTCGCAGGTGGCTTACTTCCTGCGATTGGCAGGAGGATGGCCCTTGGAGATGGTCTCATGCTATGTTTCGAGCTGAGGACTGTCGGCACGCTCTCCATTCTTTCGATCTGCGCAGCCCGGCATTTGATTTGAACAGGGTTCTTCATGCCATCAGGCATTCGTGGCGCAGGGCCAGATTCATTGAGTGGCTGTATGGCCACAGGCACGAACCTCAGCAGCTCTTGCGAGAGCACAGCAGGGCTGCTGTTCTTCGTAATTTCCATAGGCTGAACTTCGAGAATATCAGGCGCTTCATGAACCAGGGTGCTGCTCAGAGAGCAGCACTTCTTGGCTCTGTCGTTTCGGACTCCTGGCTCCATGAGGCCGGGCAGCGAGAGCACCCTAGGTGCTCGTTGTGTAATGCTCTCCGAGGGAACTTTGACCATTTGATGTGGCAGTGCCCCGCTACTGCGGCCACTCGCCCATTCCCTAAACCCACGTGTGCCCTTGAGTTGCGTTTGGCCTGGGCTGCTCGTGACTGCACTCTTAGGCATTTTTCTTGCTGCATTCAGCTTCTTTGGGATACTAGGTATCCTGGGTAGCTCCTGCTGGCCTGCTTCTGCTTTGAGTGCCGTGGCGCTCAAGGGTCCTTCTGAGACCCGCTAAGGTGGTGCCTTGGCTCTTTACCGTGCTTGTGCACGGACTTGGTGTCTCGCCTACTAAGGTCGTGCCTTGGTTTTGACGTACCTTGGCTTCTAGCTAAGGGTTAAGCTGTGCTAGCATTGGTTTGCTCACTGTGGACGCCTTCAGTGCGTTCTCCGCCCTCTCGACGGGCGGCTTTGTAGCTGGTGACGTTCAAGGGTCCCTACTACATGAACTACATATATATACGAAATGGCAGGTAACTGGGGTGTTCTGCAACAATGCCATCGAGTCTGCACGCGCTGACAAGGCCATGGGCGATATGCAATTTAGCTGTTGTCAATTGGGACCATGGTGGGTCCTCACGGCGCTATAACTCATAGTAGGTTTCACCTGGCTAACCAAGTAAATTTGTCAAGTGGAATGACAAGTATTGCATTGCGTGTCATCCTTCCATCCGTTCTGAAGGACATCGCCATCATGAAGCAAATGCAGAAGCACGCAAAGCAGCTTAAATCATTACGAGGCGTTTTCAAAGTTCCTCGGCAGATGTTCGTATGCTTTTATGCAGGGTAAGGTGTCAGCATAGATGCGACGGTCCCAAACGAGTGAGCCAGCGGCCATAGCATGCAACGCTGAAATCTGGATGAAGTGATGTCACAGATTGGCTCAACGATTTTTGTCGGCAGCGAGCGAATAATGAGGCCATGTACGCGTTCCCGTGTCATTGTATGTTTTCGAAATCAGGAAATTGACAACGACCAGTCCAATTTGGTCAGCCTTCAAGAGCTCAAGGCCCGCCAAGGCATACGAACAGACAGGTTCCGGATTTGGGGTTGTATTTTATTTATTGTCGTTTCCCTACCAAGCACCTTGCATCTCACCTTTCCAGAGAGTTCAAGCAGTGTGTGCCGCGTGTACATTTCGATGTGCCATATGCTCTGGACATCCCTGCGTAAGATGTTGTAACTCAAACCCTCCGTGCCGCCATTACCTTGCATTGTTTAAGCCCACCGCACTTGCCGCTGTAAGAGCCGGATCAATGCTTAAGAATTTGGTGTGGCCAGTTATTGCCCCACATTGAGCAGTTAAAACGAAACGTGCGGGAGAGGATCGGCCTTGGTGTGCCTGCCAGGATGCCCTCAAAGAAAAGAAGCTTGCCAGCTTCCTTGAGTCCATGGACATTTCCACCCAGGATGTCTTGACTGCGGTTGCGACGTGCAGAGCTCATTCCGTGATGTCAGCATACTCAAGCTTGGTAGAGGTGATGGCCTTGGAAAGCTGATGCGTTGCTCTATGCCGTTGTATTTTTTTGCATCTCCTGTGGGAGGACATCTGGACATTGTTCACGCAGCACGGCAGAATTTGAGTCGAATGCCTTGCCGCCTTGTAGGCGGAGGCACTCAAAATACCGGATCTTTCTATTTTATCTCCTGCCACACACTCTGTGAGGCTGCGTCTTAAGAGCCTCGCATCCATTTGCCGCCTATGTATTTCAATAAAGGCTGAGATGTGGTCTGCAATTTTCCGATGTAAAAGTTACAAGGCAAGATTGCAACACTAGCAGCAAGGAGAGGAGTATAGGTCAACTGATTCTGCCAAGCAGGATCGGGGGCTGCTGGCACCGGAAGAGAGTTAGTTAGTTAGTTAGATAAGCAGGACGTGCAAGCCGTCTTTGGCGCAAGTCCCGCTTCAACCGGTGAAGTTTGCATGGTGGTTGCGTCAAACTTGTCTGCAAGAGAGCAGCGCACGAAAGATCCCTGGCAGTTTGCCAGATATGCCGCTGCAACAGGAGGCACCCCTTTTCCGCCTCAGCCGAGGGTCATGGATTCCGATGGCAGCGGCGATGTCACCTTAGAAGAGTTTGTGACGGGCTGCATGCAGCTGCAGGCTCCTACTGCCTCCTAGAATGCTGTCATGTGAAGTGTCACAGTGGACACCCATCTCCAAAGAACAAGTTTTTGCTGTGATTTGGTTTGCGTTGTCCAACTAGGATCCATGACATGCTACCAAACTGCATGCCCCCAAGAGATATTTGATCTTTGGTGAAGTCCGACCCTACACCGACCTCGCACCAACAGTGCATATGTCAGGGCCCTGCTCAAAGCATCCAGCTGGCGCGTATGAGACATGAGCATCTGAGAACCCGCGGGGCCGCTTGACTGACTACTTAGTTTCAGGTCGGAGGGATTGCAGCGTGTGCCGGAGAATGTGCAATGGCAAACTACAGCCAGCCTCTGAGGCTGTGTACAAGTCCTGTGTATCTACAGGACAACTTGTGCAGACCAGCTCCCAGCAAAGGCAGAGTGAAATTGTAATTAATGGTGGCTTCCCAGGCTGCTGCAGGTTTTGCCCGGCATATAAGACTGTGGAAGCGGACGGTCATCCACATTCCATCTCTGGACCATGGTCTGCCTGAACTTGTGAACCCGGGCTATTGTGAGTCCCAAGTCCTTGAGCATGACCAGGCACTTGGCCAGCATCGAAAGGGTAGTAAATCGAAGTTGTCCTTGGGAAACTCTGCCGGATGATGCAACAGAACTTGATGAACTTTGGGTTCGACCACGGCAGTTTGAAGACTTCCTTCCAAGATGTGTCTGCATGAGCTATTCCGTGTTCCAGTTAGGGCAGAGAAACCAGCAACTGCGGTGCGTGCGTTTTGCCGTGCAGCTTCCCTACTGAGTCAGTGGAACCTGGTACTGCAAACCACGTTCCACAAGGACCACATGGGTCAGAGCCGGCCGTTGAATCTTACAAACCTTAGTCAAGTTCTACTGCTTACATGCTTTCAAGCACCAATCCAAGGACATTGTACGGGTAGGCGATGACGTTGCCGGCCTCAGAGCTCAACTGCAAGAGCTCCTGAGCCGTTGACTGGCAGGCCTTGCTTCTTTGTGGGTTTGACGCTTGAGACGCATCTGTGTCCATAAGAATCGTCCTCTTTGCTTTTCGCCAGTCCTTGCATTTGAAGCTGTTTTTGGGCTTGGGTCTGTCTTGCTGACTCTTGGCCCAGGAGCCGGATGCCTTTGAGCGATCAGAGATTGCAGATGCCTTGTTTTAGTCGGAAAGCACATCGGATGGGCCGAGGCTCCTCAGACGACACTCGGAGCTCCAGCTGTGAGCTAGACTCAGCTAGACACAAGGCTGCGAGGGGTTGTTTGATTTGGTTGAAGGGCCTGCCTTAGAAATCAGATAGATGGTAGGGAAAGCTCATAAGTCTCCAGCAGTGCAGGAAAGCTTGTAGCCATACGTGGCTTACGTACAACTCGATCGCAAGTGTTGTTTTGCTTGAGGTAGCAAGCACATCAGTTCGAACTAGCAGACAGCGTCGTTTCCTCGATGGTGAAATCGTAGAGGTACTGTATCAGGAAAGTGTCCAGATCTACGAATTGCAAAGACCATCTTGTTGATTTTTTCTTGTAGAGTCCAGGGTCACGATCGAGCGAATTTGTGGCCGTGTTGTAGCTACCTGAGGAGTGCTTGGAATTGTGGAGTCGACCAGTATGTTGCTTTTTGTTCCATGGGGACTAGCCTGCGCCATTGTCAGCTCAGAATTACTACCAAGAGGGTGTCTTTTGGGTTTTAAGCGGGATCAGGGCCGCAGCAGGCCTTTTGCAAAGGCAGGCTCCCAGAGCAGCATTTGACGCGCGTCGGGGGCGGGCTCTCAAAGACTGCCGTCCCCTAATCATTTGACATGTTAACGCATGCATCTGCTGCTTGCTTGAGCAGCCCAGAGGTAGGCTCCTGTTAAACAACGAAAGAGTTTTGGAGAGAACGACCGCTCTGACCGTGGCCATGAGGCCGATGAGGATATACCAAGGTGGGCACAGAATCTAAAAACTAGCGCCGACTCGCCTCCTTCCGCTGTCTGTCATGACAGAGCGAATGTTGCATCCGAGCTTAGTGTGATTCTGATTACTACATCTCTTTGGATGCCACAGCTTTCAGGCCTCCACATCTGTTGACCTGCCAACACTAATAATTACCTGCTAGGTACCTACCTCGCGTGCTGGTGTTGCTTGCTGCTGGCCACAGATTCCCCTAGGAAGGAATCTGCCATTGAGAAAAAATAAGGAAGCCACTTTCAGCACCCGTACTCTATTCTACACAAATCCCTGGGAGTCATGAAGCAGCATGGAGTTTTTCAGACCATGGGGAGCCCTGCAGGTACACTTGCAGGCTTCCGACTCGATAATGGCTGAGCTGGAGAAACTTGCAGAAGTCGCCCACATCAAACGGCGTACGACTATTGATTGTCCTGCTCTGTCGCAGCTACGATGGGGTGAGAAATCACTCAAGCAGGCTAGCCTGTGCAACAAGATGTGAGCTTTGTTGCTGAGGGCTTCTAATCGCCTTTTGGGGTATGCCATGAGAACCTCATACATAGTGCTTTCCACGGTGCACAAGGCTTCGTTAAACGAATGCCTTGAAGGCTGCCGCGCGGTTCACAGAAGTATGTCAACCATGGGCAGTTCCTATGCCTAGTAGTACAACTTTGCTTGTGGGCCGACTGTGTGCTGGGAACCTGCAGCTGGCCTAGGAGCTTCACATCTGGCCTCAAGAGAGAATCACAAAATGATTTGCTTTCAGTCTAATGAGGTGAAAGCATTGTGCAGGTGCACACTAAGCCAGAAGTAGAGGCCGAGATGCTAACTGATACTGTAAGGCTTGGGACCACGTCGGAAGCACGACTCTGCAGCTCGTGAAGCTTGACGTTTCCCTTGGCCTCCTGCACTGGCAAATCCCAACAACCCTGATCATATGGACACTTCTGGATCTGACCGATCCAATGGTCATGCATATGCCCGTTGCGAGCATTTTGGCTTATCTAGGTACATCACATGGTCATGTGTCTGCCAAGAAGTCTTGATTTCTTGTTTCACTCCTGTTGAGATTTGTCCAAGATGCTGAGTCCTCCTAAATTTCTTGCCCCTGCCAAGACCGAGTTAAGCTAAGCTTCAGTTCCGCCTGGAAAGGCGGCCAAGGTCCTGCTCGATTCTTTTCCGCCTGTTAATGAAGCGTCGGCTCGCGGCAGTTGCAAAATCTGCGAGTTGGACAAAAGGAAAGGTTCTTGCTGTCCGAAGAAATTCCAAAATATCTACAGGACCTGAACTTGCACAGAACTCAATTTGCGTGGCAGCGTGCTGCTGACGGACTTTATGCTCGGGGGCTTAGGAGTGTCAAGCTAAACTGCCTTGTGGCTGGTAGGCTGTAGATCTGGCACATGGTAAGCATGTTATCTACAGTTTGCGAAGTAAGAGGACAGGAGAGTGCATTTCCTTATAACATTTCAACTTGCCGTCAAGAGCGGACCGTAAGAGTTCTGTCATCGTGAAACCATCATCTATTCAGGTAATGCAACAGTTGCCCTGCCCAAGTTTGGTATACATGTTTCCTTGTGTAACCCGACAAGTTGTGCGTGGACCCGCTCGAAGTAATTTCCAGCAATCCGCGTTCCAGGAGAGCGGCAACCACGCCGAGGACAGATACGCTCAATGGGGCAAGGCAAAGGAGATACTTACACTCCAAGGCTGTGGCTTCGCAAGCCCAACTGATTGTAAGCACCGAATTCTGACAGTGCCAAGACGTTGTGCGCTGAGACCTGATTGTTTCCATTGCTGCATCTATACGACACGTCTCCCCAGAAGGCATTTGCAGACAGCGAATCACTCCACGATGCTTTCGCTTTGTTTGTTGTTTGGTAGTATCTCCTCACTGGAGACTCTTGCCTTACAAAAGCCATTGGTCATGCGCAAGTCAGAACGTGCTTTTCTGCATCTGCCCGCAGGTGCACCACAAGTGAAAACAGGATGAAACCCGCTAGAGAGCGACGGTTTGTTTGGCATTGAAAGCTTGTGAGGCTTAGCCAACCTGCGGCAGAATGCAATGCTACAGATAATGCTTGGAGACAGTGCTTTCATTCAGTTTGGTGCCTCCTGCGCGTAATTCCTGGGGTCGTTAAGGCATCTGGTGTTTCGGAGGGTGGGCAGTTTGCAGGATGTTACTTGCCTCCGGCTCAGCACCGGTTCAACAAATGCTGCTGGTAGCAGCTGGTAGCAGTGGAAGCAGTAGCCACGACGGTAATAAATGAGTTTTGCAGGCGCTTTCTCTTTTAGTTGGCGGTTCTCTAGAAACCTATCTCGAAGTCACTGATGGAGAGCATGTTGCGGTTGGCAGATGGCCCCCCGAGCCTGCAAGCCCAAGCCTAAGCCCTTAGCCTAAGCAGACCTCAGAGCCTAAAAGGCTTCGCTCTTTTTGCAGCCTCGTGGCTGTGCAAGCTTCGCCATGTCTTCTGCAAGCTTTGCCGCGGAGGACGGCTTCGAGCCCCTGGTCTCAGAGAGTTGACTTGTTCAAAGTGAGCTTCAGGTCTAGAATGGCATTGCAGAAGGACAGAGTTACAATGCACCAGATACATGGGAAGGTGAAGGTACAGGTTCTCGGGGTGAGGGCAAAGGTACTCCGGCTGTGCGTTCGCAAGCTCTGCAGTCCCTTGATGCCAATGCAGAGTGGTAGAGTATGTAGTCTGGCTGAGAAGAGGAACGTGATAAAGATTGATTAGCTGCAGATGATGCTCCTGCTTGGCTTCGGTTTTAATCACAGATGGCTGTTGGTACGTGGTCTGGGCGTGGGGTCTCATGCGTACAACACTGGCTTGCGGACAAGATGGGGCTGCGAAACCCCTCGAGCTGCAAGGCCTACACAAGCTTTTGGGCGCTCACCGCTCTAAATTCGCTTTACTACAGGTCTCCGAGGAACAGCTCACTGATACAGCCGGGGCACCTGCTCTCCTGCGAGGAGCCTGACTTGCGACTGGGCCGAGGGTAGACTTGAGCTTGTAGGCTTGCAGATTCCTTCATGAACTCTTCTGCAGTGCCGAGGGGTGGCGTGCAGTTCATAGTCATGTGCTTCCGATTGGTTCCGTGTTCCCGCTGAGACGAGAGCTCCATGGCTGTTGCTAGGATGTGGCGACTACTGAGAGTTTCGGAGAGCCAAAATAATTTGGTCGAGTAGCTCCTCTTCACGGGGATACTGGCCTGTCAAGGATCCTCAGGCGAAGACACTTCAGTGATCAAACTACAAGGTGGCGGCCCACTGGCCAAACAAAAAGCCTTCGGTATCGCCGTCTATAAGTGTGGAAGCGACAACGTGCGTCAGAGTGCCGTAACATCATTGCCTGTCCCCCTCGCCATTGACATTCTGGTTTGCCGACATGGGCCACCGACATTCGTAGGTATATTTATAATGATATTAAATCTGATGCATGCGGGCTCGCATTCTCAGATAGCTCAGATGCACAGCGAAACTTTGCACAAAACCTCAACCTGTCGCTGATGCGCTTCATGTTGACACAGCTTTCTTCTTCCCTTATACAACCTTGAATCCACGCAAGCCGGGAACAGGGCCTCGTCGTTGCACTTGGCTGTCGAACATGTATAGCGCATCTTTGTGTCTAAGTCCACAAATCAAATGGTGCAGACTTGCCCAGCGAAGCTTGGCACACAACTTCAGCGAAAGCTTCCGACCACAAAGCCAACATTGTAGCTTCTCCTCAAGCCACCCAGGCCTACAGCAGATGAGGACCCAGCCCAGCTGATTTTACAGCTCATATAGATCTGGTAGGCAGGCACCAGTCTGGACCTGAGCGACTAGTCAACTCATGCAGCCGGGGCTTGGTGCAGGATGGATTAGCGGCCAATCATTCAGCAGATTTAGCCCAGTGCAAAGAAATGCATTGCTAGTGTGCAAAGAGTGGTGTTGCGAACACATGTTGAGGAGATCCAGACGATCGACTGCGACATGGCTGGGCGTCTCTGTGATATGTGCGAGATGCTCGCGCAGCAGCACAAAGAAGAGTGCGAGCTTATGACTCAGCAGCACAAGGAGGCACCTCGGACGCCTAAGACGTCTGGTGTCTTGCTGGCGCTGCCTCATTCACGCATACCTAGAGGAAGTTTGTGGTAACTAGAAATTAGGATAAGCAAACGCCTGATGCTCAACGCAAACAGCGCGGGGAGGGAGGAAACAAACCAGAATTAGAACTTCCAAAGCCCCATGAATTCCAAGCCCAAAGCCCTGGCGCAAGGTGATGGAAGCCTTGAGCTCGCAGAGTGACATGCTTGCTCAGCTGCCGAAGCGAACCTCCGTCATCTCCTGGCCTGTTGGCTGCCTATACTTACACCGCGAAGAAGACACGGACAAACTGATTTATTGAGTTTCACTGATACAGGACGAATTTCAACGACCTGACCCAATGGAACGCTAAGCAAGCCGAATTCAGGTCCGGACCCTACTCTGAAGCCGAGCAATCTCATAGGTCAACTCGCATTCTTAGTCCCTCTTAAAAAGCTTCGCATGAGAAGCTAGTTCTTCCAACTTATACATGTGACTGCAGCTGTTAGGACTGGCACCTTATTTGACCCCCTTATCAGCGCCGCGGATCTTTGAACCAGACATTTGAGCCAATTCAACCGTTGCTGTTCTGCATGCCTGAAATCAACCTGGAGGGCCCTTGTAAAAGAGTGAGGATGCAGGGGCTCTCCGCCCCAGTTCAGGTCATGTCAGTTTTCAGTCACAAGCAGTTCCCATGACATGGTACTCCTTGCTCATCCAAGCCAACGATATAACATGCCTTGGCATCAACATTTTGGATGGATGCATATGTGAAGTCTGCCAAGGCGTCGGAAAGACTCTGGCGGATCCAGCGGAGCGTCAGCGTGTCGCTCTGGATCTCCTCAGGCAAGTTGTCTGAAGAGCTTGTGGGATTGATATAGGCTTTAGGACCCTTCCCTCTGTGCACCTGTTGCTATCAGTTGCTTACTATCTAATCCTTTCCCCCAATATTGAAGGGCCCCCTTCCCACCCCCCAACGTATTATTCGGACCCGTATTGAACATTAGTGGTGTATTTATCATGCGACGCGAAAATTGGGTGGGGGGGGGGTTGTACAATAGGACCCCCTTGAAACATAAGTAGAAATAATGAATAAAGTTGATTAAATCGAATAAGAATTCGGATGACATCACAATGAAATCGTAACACAATTCATCATAAAACCGAATTAGGAAAATTGAATCTCATGAACATCCAAATAGGGCCAAGCTAGCATAACTGGAAACGCGTAATCAAACCAATTAACTTCTAACTAAAATCTAATCGAAACTCCTGGGATTTTGATTAGAACCAATTGAACTCTAGTTGAAATGAATTTAGAATCTAGGTAAACACTGTTTTCCAATCGCAATAAATCCATTTTAATCGCATTCGATTTTTTCGGATTTCCTTTATAAAGCCCGTTAATCCTTAAGAGTCAAGCTAGGGCCCCCCCCCCCAATTCAGAGGATCCGAGCCGTAATGAAATTTGGTCTTGGCCCTTCTAAAAGTAGTCTCAGGGGCAGAGTTCGGAATTTGAAATACTATATATAAGGGGGGGTGCTCAATACTAGGGGAAGGGATTATACAAACACGGTTATCCATAGGGACAAATATCAAGATGATATAGAGGTTGTGATTGGGAATTGGGATCCGCTCCCGGATTCCCTGCTGACAAGCAGGTAGATTATCGTAGGATAGTCAGCCCCTCCCCCCAACAGCCCCTCCCATCTCTACACAATCCTTCTGCGTGCATCAGTACATTTTTGATCGCCAAATCCCTTGCCGTTCTGTCTTTTTGGGGTATAACCTACTGGGACCCGAAAAGTTACTGGTGCACTATGTAGGGTGTGGAGGTCTCCTTGATTTGGAAAACAATGCGTCGATACATTTTGTGACCCCATGGGCCTTATACTTTCGAGGGCATGCGGAAGTCGATGTGGCAGTGCATGGTTAGGAGGTCCAAAATGTTGCTGGCGCACACTCATAGCAGTTTGGATCCCATTACTTTATGGGCTTAGGGTTAACGTGACCACTTGGGGTTCCAGTATGAGGCTAACCGCTTTCTAATTTTGCTTGCCAATGCATTTCTGATCCCGGACAGAGGCCTTGAAAGTTGCGGTTTTGGGGATATTAAAAATCTGGGTTCCGAAATGTCATTGGCAAACATTCATGCTTCATGCGCTAAACGTCGGGACTGCTGAACACCCTCAAGGGCGTTACCCAAAACAAACTTGCATCAGCGCTGGCTGCATGTAAGCCGCCTACAAGTTTTCCTCCCAAAATATAGTTCCTTCCCCAAAAAAAACCAACCTTTGGAAAGCTGTTAATTAATCCAAAACTGGCTGCGAACACAACTTACGCACGTTCGAAGCAAGCCTGAAACTCTGAACCTGACTAGATCTGAATGCCTACGACATGAAGCATCCAACTCGCCAAACTGGGCGACTGAACGCGCAGCACATGATTCGGCCTTATTCGCTAAATTATTTTATAGGGAAGTTCACACCGGATGGAGAAAATCTTGAACCATCTTGTATACCCTGCAACCCAGTACTTGCGGTAGCTGAATTAGGGCAAGCCCCGGTGCAGGATTTCGTCCATCCGTCGTAATTATACTATAAAATCCTTCAGGGCTGCCCTATTACCGAAACTCGAAGCTTTTCCGCAAACTGATGCGGGTGCTCCCGATCAGCCGGCGTTTGCTAAGCAAACTGTGGTGGTGAAGCCTTTTGAACGGCATTACTCATTAATGAAGTATCATGAGTTATCAGGGTGCATGTGCGTGTGTCTCCCAAAGCTCCGACACGGCTTTGACAAATGCTGCACGCCTGTTACCGGGAAAACCTCATCGGCAGCTCGACGTTCGAGTTGACATGCGCGCCCGTAGCCGTAGCTGTGTTCGCCGATTGACACACGAGGGGGCCATTGGGACCACGTCGTCCAAGAGGGTGTCTTACCTGACAACGTACAGAAACTGAGGCAGATGAGCGAGCACAAGTAGCTGCCAAGTCAAGAACCTGCGGCACTTTCGAAAGCAGACACGAGCAGCTCCTTCCTGCTTATTATTTTGCCTCTACTTGCCACAAGATTCTGGCATGACAGTGAGTAATAATCTGGCCCAGACCCCGAACCGTGAACATGAAGGCGGCACCTGAAGACTGATCCCGGAGGTGCTAATGTCAAGCGAGGATGTGGCTGCAATCGTTGACTACAAGACGCTCAGCCCAAATACTCGTGGCCTTCGCATTATTTGTTTATTTGATTTCTATGTAGTTCTTTTGGGGGATTGATCTGAGGGAGCTTTGCGCGGGACCTGCACCTGATTTGCAATCCCAACTGAAATGCTCAGGCGCCGGAGTAACTCGGACAACGTTAGCGCCAGTACCCGCTCAGACGGCCTGGGACCTGTGTCATGTTCCATCTCGCCAGATGCCCCTTGGCCAAGGATCAGGATATGACCTTGCGTTGGGTTAGCTGACCCTTGGAAGTCTTCACTGCCTAATTTTGCAGCGCAAACTCATCCTGAAGCCAGGTGCCGTTGAACAGCGGGGACGTGGTCCCCATGGAGAACCTTGGCCGAGCTGTCATTGCAAGGTGTATGAAGGAATTGATAGGCGCTAAAGGCGCTAAAGGCGTTGGGTGTCGACAAGCGCGCCCCCTGCCCAGCTTGCAAATCGTTTCTGAAGCTCGGTCACACAGGAGCGCACATGACATACTAAGCCCATTTGAGGCAGAGCCAAATTACGAAAAGGTCGTCAGGGGTGCTTGAAACCTTTATTGGAGCAGTTTCTGACAGAGACATTTTCGTGGCTTCGCTGCGGGTCCAGGATCCCCAAGAAACTGCATGTGAAACCGCTCATTGTATGCAGCCTAAAAGCCTGAGAACGCCCAGGCCCATCACAGAAGGGACGTCGGATGACCAGGCGCCGGAGGCATTCGGTTTCTGTACGCTGCAGCTAGAAGATGCGTGTTTCACGGTCTTACAGTCTGGTAACTGGTACTTGTGGCTTTGCAGGAGAAGGTTCCTACCAATGCGCCAAGCGGGAAGAAAGTTCGCACGATCAGTGGGCCGAGGGCGCCTCACTTGCCAGGAAGGGAACTTGCAGAGCTATGCAGGGATGGATGGATCAGTAGGCTGTTTCTAGTCCGTCTGTTGTGCCCATGTGTGCAAAGAATCACAGGGAGCCAAAGGCTGCAAAACCCATGTCCCGCCTAGCGGGCCTAGCCGAGGGACCACAGAAGCCCGCGCGACCGACCTTCACCCCGCAACTGTTCAAGCTTCTTGGTTGTGAAATATCATTGACGACCCAGGAAACCTCTGCGGTAGTCTCGCGGGGCCGTGTCAGCCCAGGACCTTTTCGCAGGCTGAGCTCAAGCTTCGTCGCGATGCACAGAAGGAGTCCAAGCGACACTCCATGCACACAAGGCCAGGGGCTGCCACATGCTCCTGGGAATGCTTCACCACGTCGTTGGGTTCATCATTGCTCGGCTTGGATAGCAATTCCTACTCTTGCCTTCCTGACATGTACTCAGTCTATTCGGCTGCTTTGCAGTTCTGAGGAAGGATGCCGGACTTTCGACTCAGATTTCTGTGCTGCAGTCCTACTCATTGCACAAAGAATTGGCTTTGAGATTTTTGAACATGTCCTTTTGTGTTTTGCCAGCAAGATAGGTCCTTTCTGTTGATTTCGACTCATTGCACATGTTCTGTTTCAATGATTTTCAATGGATGCTACAGTACGGCTAGTAGAGCTGTGAACTCCCAGCAGGCTGTGGTAGCCAAGCTGAAGTTCTTGCTTGTCGTCATTGCCATTGGCAGTAACACCCAGCTCCTGACGTTGGATAATCTCAAACAGCTAGGGCTAAAGATGCACGCAACTCGATGCTTGCGAACCCAAAGCTTAAAACCCGGCACGTAGCGACCCTGCACTGCTTATGCTTCCTGACTTTCACCTCCCCTTTAGGAGCATCATCCAAGGAGGAACTACATCCTCTAAAGCAACGCCTTGCCTTGTGAGTTTTTGGGTCCCAAACCTCTACATTCTAAGATCCATATGCGAAGAGCTTGGCCCTAGAAGCACAACCTGCCTTGATCCGCAAGACCCAGCACCCATCCTCAGTTGGAGCCAACAAAAAGATGCTTTGACCAAGAAGCCGATGAGCAGCACACAGATTCCTCAATGTGCTATTCTATGGCACTGCAGTGTCCTTCCCGAAGCCGTCCGCAAGGTCCTATTCAAATTCTGTTGACTGGGTAGTCAGTCCTCGTTGGACTTGAATGGGTGCACATAGATACACTCTTCCCTCTGCAAACGTGACTCCTGGACACTGGAGCCGACACCTACAGCAGTAAAAATGTCAACTTCAATTGCTAGAGCAGGTCCGAAAGCATGCCGGTGGAAGCTATGGAGCGCAACGCGGCTGGAAGTCAAGGGCAATAGGCGTTGGGAGGAGGTCGCGGGTGCCGGTGTCCAAAATATGAGTAAAAGACTAGCTCTTAGAGACATACCAGTGGCCCGATTGCGGCATCGAGTGGCTAGAACATGGAGGGGCAGGGTCGGGAAATCAGATCCGTGGAAAACGCTCCCAGTTTGTTGCGGTCTGAGATGTGGGCTGAAGCTGGTTCACGCGTGCTTCAGTATTAACTGTCAGAGCAAAAACAAACAGAGATCCTAATTTTATAGTGCTGTTGGCCGCTCTTTGCTGCTGGTTCTTGGTGTATGTGGAGTCGCGACTCACTTGGAGCTGCTGTTCAAGTCGGCTACCCCTCGCCCTCAGGGCGCAGGGTCGTTCGATCGCCAAGAACAATGTATGGCCGCTCTCGGGGAAGGGGTCTACGATAGTCTACGGCAGCGGCTGCGGACATGACATTTGGCTTAGGGTCGTGTAAATGGTTTGCCTTCATTATGAGTGAGTTTACCCGTGGCAGTTTCAACTTGCAGCTCGCAGCAGCAACTCGGCATCTATCAGCTCAGCTGCCGGCATGCCAGTTTTATTGGCTCGTGCACGTAGACACATATTGTAGACTGATGGCGGCACAAAATGGCCAGGGACTTGTGCCTCAGAAACAAGCTACAAACCATTAAAGAGGCTCGGCGCCTGTTTTTGGCCACCCTGTTGGTCATGGAAATGTTAAAGTCGAGACTTTCAGTCATCTTTGTTTCTCGAACCCTCCAATATTGCCCTCCTAAGCAAACTGGCCCTGCACTGATGCACGGGCGCTGCCGAGGCTGCCTGCCTCGGTTCGTGAAGGCACCCGCTTTCGACATCTTCTTCACCGGGGTTGTCTTCTTTAACTCCATATTTATCGGTGCCATGGCATGCAGCTTGAGGATGGTGGAGGCGTGAACCAAGAGCCTGCGACAACACAGCTTCAAATGGGCTTGGGTAAGAACCCCCCCTGTCAGAATTTGTACAAGAGTGCTCCTATTGGCTGCTTCCCTTGCAAAACGATAACGAATACACAAAAAACGATAAGGTTTA